GAGAAATTGGATGGGAGTTTCCCACATAGCAGGGAGGAGATTTGTCGTCCATGGCTGTCTTCTAAAATCAGTACCTTTTTGATTGGCTCAGTGGGAATGTCCTTGTTTACTTGTGATCCAGGTTGCGCAACTCTACGTGTCTTTGTTACTTTGCGCTTGTTAGACTGTTTGCGTTTGTTTGTGGGTGGACGTGTCGGTGATGGGAGAGGGAAGTGAAGATTGGGAAGGCAAGGAAACTCATTGTCATAATCTAAAGCAGAAAATCTGTTTTCAGTCGTGATTGGTAGTGGTGATTGTGTTTTCACTTTCGCGGATGGTCTTTTGGAAGTTTCTGCGGTGTTGCCTATTGTTGTCCAACCGTCTGTGTTTTGAACGACCTCTTCGAGCCTTCGAATATGTCCATCTTAATTATTGTTTATATGTATGAAGGCTTTCAGAAGGTCAGCTTTGAGAGTGTATAGAGTAGAAAGTGTGTAGCCATGTCACGAATGCATATCAAAGTGCGTGGTAAATAAGAGAATAAATAAGTAGATAAGTACTCAAACTAATTTAGAAAGTACCTTCTAAACCAATATTCTTTTAATTTAAGTGTATTAAATTATTTAATTTAAGTCACGTATTTAATTGCAAAATAACAATTATGTGATTCTAATTAGTATATAAATGTGATTAATTAAATGCGAAAGTTTTTCAATGTGTTTAAAGTAATATATCTAAGCTGTAAACTAATAAATACAATTATATTACTATACTTTATCTATTGTAAGGCCTATAGATTACCTAACGGCGGCGGTGGTGTAACGGTTAGCGTACGGGACTGTTATATTCAAGTTCGCGGGTTCAAACCCGATTGAAGCCGTGAATTTGTAAGGGCGAAAAAATCCTTCGTACGCCTTCCCTCGAGGGGGAAGTAAAGCCGGTTGTCCTATGTTAGTAAATTTGCATGTAAAAGATCTTCAAGCCTAAATGACGCCTGTAAGCTAAATTCGTTGCTCACAAACATTACTTGCAAACAAGCTAAATTCGCTTGTTTCGTCGCCCAAGAAATACCTCGTTTCTTCGCTAGTGGGTAAAAGGAGCGTAGTGAAATTTGCGTGGTCAGACGGAAGAGCGGGCCTGATGGCCCGAGTCTCGCCACGTAAAATAAGGCTTCAATTCAATACCTATTGGTAGGTGCATGCTTATTATTCGTACATCGTGTCATTGTCTAGAATCTAAACGTCAGGGACCCATAGGACCTTTGCAGGCGGGATTGCACATTTGCAAAATATGCACGAGCAGTGGAAAAGATGATTGAATTTGTGAAAATTCTGAATGCGTTGCACAATGAACTTCAATTTGTGTTCAGTTCGTTCAGAGGTTTGGCAGAATTGAGAGACCCAACATTTTGGTTACCATATCTTCAGTGAATTGCGCAACGTTTAAATTCATTAGAGTGTACACATATTTGAAATGAAAAACAGCATTGAAGTAGTTTTTCCTTCATTTACTAGCAACTTTTTATTACGGAACTGATTTGAAACATCTGGTTTTGTACTAGTTACTGTTGCTTTATGCAAAGAATATTCGTATCATCAGCAAAGAGAACTGTTCTTCCATTTCCAATCAACGAGGGCATATCGTTTACGTATAGTGGGATGAGAATAGGGCCTAAAATCGAACCCTGCCGGTCAACATGCGCAATTGGCAAAAAATCGGTCAAGAAAGTAAATAATGTTCTTTAATTTCAGAACGGTATTTCTACCCTCTGAGATCGTTGTTTATTGTTCGAACTTTACCAATCCAGAGCAATACCACGAATTTCATACGAAGTAATATATCAAATTTCAGACGATCATAAAAATGTATTGTGATGCAACCATGTCATGCAC